TCCTCACCTCGCTCTAGCCCATCATGTTCGCTAGCACCTCACTCCTTGTGGGAAAAATGGCGACTGCCACGAATTGACTAGCACATGTTCTCACTACTACTTGTAAGCTACACTCTGATTGGTCAGTGAAACGAAGATTAACAACGACTATCCAATCATCTTTCTTCTGTACATAACAACTTGTAATCGGCACCCCTCGGTATATATACGTATATATACAATAACCTGTAATCGATAACCTTCGGTATGATCAAATGATATAATATACACATGTACACACGACTATGTGACAGTTGCTTCCCCTTACTATACGTTGCCTTTATTTTTTTTCGTTCGGATGTAGACGTCCAGTGGAGAAACCAGAAGTATATCCTTGAAGCAAAGACAATTGTGTTTCAACCCATACCTGAACATCTTCATATAGTGAAAACAATCCTCATGTTTTAATACTGGTTAATTTAGATAAAAACTACTATGCATTCTGAGTGAAAACAAAATCAAACACATCAATTATGTTACTAGCAAGCACGAAACTTCGTTCAGAGATTATCATACTATGACGTCACAAGCACATCACACTCAATCGGACTTCAACGGTTATTTCCGGAAGGATGAAAAATAACCGGAAAATCATGGAACTAATGTCCGTTGCTTGTACATCTCTTTGTCGGTGCTTCATGACTCTTTTATTTCAGTTTTTGCCACAGGCACAAAAAGTAAAAATGCGGATATTTTCTGAAGATCCTTTTTGTCATCAACCAGGTTCTATTAATATTTATACCGGGAGATATCTTCAAAAAGAGCCGGCATTAAACCAATAGGTCAACTTGTTAATTTATTTTTCATCGCCTTAAATTTTATCAGCTTTTGATTTCCATTTGTTGAGAATATGAACGAAATAATTAACATTTTTGAAAGTCTGGTTATAGTCTTTACATCATTTATGTATGCGTCACCACTCATAAAGGATACAGTGGATAATTCATTTATGACGAAATCAATAATAATTGTCCGGACAACCAACCCTACTTCAACGCCCTTTTTCAGCAACGTATTACTTTTTTTACAGCCCTTTTACAACTACTTACAGACAGAAACTGTTTAATCTTACTTGGCATCATTACCTGTCAAACCTCGGTGACAGTTACAAAAGTGTAACAATGTTTTCTTTTTTTTTAATTTAATTTTTTAACCAACATTTCTAATCATTTTCTTAGACTTATCGTCAAATATGTAATATGCACTTTTTTCTATACATGTAGCATTTACCAATTTTTTTCCCAACTTATCTCAATCATTATTTGTGTGGCCTGACGGAAGCACACAGAGGATTTAATTCTTAATGTGGGAGGAAGATTGAGTATCCGGAGAAAACCCGTGTGGTCGAGCAGGTGACCGGGATTGAATCCGGCCATCTTGGTTAAGACGAGCGCGCTATCCACTGCGCCATCCGACCCATCATATACGTTACGCACAAGAACAAATATCTACTTCAGCTTTGACTGGAAGAAAATGGCGTCATTGATGCAAAATATTATATTGTAAATACATTTACCAATCATCAATGAAAAAAACATCTGGGCTTTCACACGAAAAAATGACGAGAAAAACTCTAACGTAAAATTACTAAACAGGAGAAAATCTCTTTTGAGAGGATACGTAGACAATCATGATATCGCTTCTAGTTATGCGAACTTTCTGTAAACGGAATTGTTAACAGTTACTTTTTTAACTGTCAAACGATTTAACATACTGACAGCTTCAAATGGTATACATAAAAGTCAAGCCAATCACTCACTACCATATTGCTGTACGATATTAATTTATTGAAATATTAATTTGGTCCCGAACAATGACAACAGGTTCGGTCAATGATAACGTTGCAAATTCGGCCCATGTAACACATAAAAATTCGTAAAATTGGCGGTAAATCTGACGTTGCATGTTTTATGACGTCATAATTAAGCCGATTCCAATGGGGGCTGAACTTACCCGAATACCTGTCCGAACCGTCCGATCTTCCGACAGGGAAAATGAAATAATGTTCAAAAACGGACGTGCTGCCATACATCCCAGAACGGACTTCAATAAAAATGGACCGAACTTGCCCCGATCTCCCCCATTGTTATGTCAGTCCAAACTCATAAGAGCTTATGTTTAACTGTTATTCCTCGACTAGCCGACTTTGAATAAAGTTTATCTTATCTCATTCTGAAAGCAGTATTCCGAATCAATGATAATCAGAGATCAACAAAAACTACGCTCTTTTAAGGCTTTGGCTTTTCATATTATGATGTCATTGTTTGTTCTCCATGCTTAGAATACATATGGTTATTCCATTAGTAGGGATAATGGAACTACACAGGCATAAGAATTGTATAATCACGGTTGTCGTCGTTACCTGGTAAACATTCTTCATATGTTTCAAGCGCACATACAAAAGTTTCTACCTAGCTTCTTATGCAACACAATGTTGGCATTTAACAAACCAAAACAATGTATGTACAATTCACAACTTACAGTGGTACAGCGCTTGTGATAATGGATATATATTGCATAAAGGATAGCATACGAGAGACATGATTGTTTAGCGTTAAAACATTTCCAGTGATGGATTCCACTTCAAACATAATATGAGATTTATGATATGTCAATTCCAGATACCTTTAAAGTTGTCAATTTGATCTTGCTGGGAAAATTGGAAAATATGATATGGCATTGATCGATATGAATATCGCTCCTTCAGGTTTGTGTGTGGTTTGTTGTCCTACTCACACGCGAACCGAGTGTTGCACTTGGCTGGTTATGTGTAGTGCAAGTATTTTCCTCCAAATCAAATTTACGATGCAGCGTGAATCATCAACAATAAGGACGCAGACAATTAAATAATATGACTATAACTCAAACGTTTCATTTTCAAAACATATTTTTTTTTTTTATTATAAATGATTATAAATTCGACGTTTTATTTACAAACCATAATTAACAATGATACATGCAACAACACGGCTATAATAACTGCTATAACAGGAACCCTCAAACAGCATAATTCTGTTGCTGAGACGCAGTGTCTGATAAATCATTCTTAACACAAAGGCACTGTAACAAATGTATGAGTCTTAACAAATATTTACCAAGGCTATTCATGACCGCTCCTCTATGATAGTTGGGGTACAGGTAAATGTGTGTTATGAAGTCACTCAGATGTAAATAGCTATAAATATAACAGATAATAACTGCCTCGTATTTACAAAACCTCCAATATAGGATATCTACATGGCACAGTATATACATGTAACAAAGGTGACAGTGCGCTCCAAAAAAAAAAAAGTAAAATGAACGATAAACGAATAATATATAATGGTAGATTAATCCACATACTACGATACTCATTATTATGGATTGATATATTTTAATACATAGCACTTAATATCATAAGGTTTACAATGTATGATGAGTTTCCACAGAGTAAATAAAGGGCGCCATGCGCACTTACATGGATGAGTTAAGTTATGGGCGGAATGGTAAACTATATTGTTATACGTTGTGATATGTAAAAGTTCGTGTTTCTGTATAAATAAATGGGGCGGATTGGCCCGAAAACTTGACAGTTTTTTATGTCTGCACACTGTAATAAACTGAGATGACGCCATGATGCTCTTGACGGAAAGTTTCTTATACGCTTGTTCAACATTCGTAAACGCTGTTAGCAAAGAAGTGTCAATGTTTTCAGTATTCAGTTACTTGGTTTCTGGGGGAAAACATCTTCAGATTTTACGGATGATCGTAGGTTTCTGACACCATGTAATAAACTGATATGACGCCATGATGCTCTATACAGGAAGTGGTGTACTTTTTACCTCCTACATTAGAGAGTTTAATATAAGGTCGCACACTAGAAAATGAGCAAACTGGAACAATACAAAAATAATACATTAATCGTGCAACTTAACCACCTTCAATACAAAAATTACAAGGGTACATACTCGATCTATTTCATCCAGAAGTTATCTGAGAGAGCAGATCCTTAAGAGGAAGAGCGATTGGTTTGTTTGCGTTTTACTTCCTATTAAGAGTTATGGTCATTTAAGCATATGCCATGTTTTGGTTCTGGGGAACAACTGGATTGACTGGAGGAAAACCACCGACCTGCGGGTATTACCTCGGGACTGTCCAACTAAGTCCTCGAACCCGCGACCCAGTGCCAACGCGGTCATTCATTAAAATATGTGCGTTTCAATTCGTGATTGGAGTTTTAGCTGAGCTGGAAGAGAACGACGACAATAGGTTGGTTATGTTTTGGGTCTACACTTCACCAAACTGTTGAAGTAAAACACGTGAAAAGATTTTTCAAAATAGTTGTAGTAAAATAAGTCAAAATGTCGGTTGTGTTTGGAATCTTACTTCATGGAACGTCCAAAGGTTGTTTCTTTATGGAGTGTACACTGTGACAACAGTTGTGATGTCTTTGGGGAGAACATAGACTGGCTATGAAGAATTTTTCGGCTGCATTTTACTACTAGATTATCTCCCCCTAGTTTAGAACTTAGGATCAGACCTCCGAGTGATCAAAAGTTTTTGAGTTACATTGTGACAGTAAAACATGCCAACAACGGGGTTGTGTACTGGTAGTAGACCACCCAAGACGGTTACGTCAGTGAATGTCAATAGCTTGTGTGTATCTTTGGTCTGCACAATGCTTGACGTTCACAATAGAATATGTCAGTTTCTTGGGTGTGTTTTGGGTTTGCACCAAGCAGGACGGATGTTTCTGGCAATATGCTGTAATGTTCGCAGTAACCTCGGCAGATCTGCAATGATTATTAATCCAAATACTACACATATGATCGCAGTTCCTATATATCCAACAATTGCAGCTGAATGTCGCTGGTCGCCTGCCGATATCTTACGTCTAATCACAGAGGATAGGGATGACTTGTTTACTGCTAATTCACTCTTAAGTTTGTCTATGGCTTGCTGAAGTTGCGCCATAGTCATATTCACTATCAGGTTTTTACCAAGGCGCGTACATCTGCAGGTACACTCTGAAATATAACAACGACCAATAGAATTAATGTTATCTTCTAACATAATACAAACATTAAGAATAACCAGAATATCCATATGAAAATTAATTTTGAACACTGATCATTGATAGAGCACAAACTTTCTCAAAGATACTATTTCACTAAATTAAGGATACTTTTTTTTTCAACAAATCGATAGAATCATATACTTTAATTAAAAAAATACACGAAATAAATAACTGTGATTATATATAGATTAATTCAAGTGTCCCTTTAAAACGTTGAATTACTTTTTTTTAAATTGATCAGAACAAGCTTTTAACAGTTTTATTCATTGATCCACTTGTTAATATCAACAGTTTACAGTATGCTGTTATAATTAAGAACCCGCGGAGGAAACATTATTTATCATAACAAAAAGTAACAGACATAGATTTGAATTCTGATTTAAATTAAAAGGCGAGATAAAACATTTGGCATCACAAAACAGATATATTTACACGATTAAATACAGCAAATCAATGGTTAACAAATTAAAGATCAATAAATATTTTGCATTTAAGACAATAAATCTGGCCGTAGAAGATAGCTCTATAATAACCAGTGGATCATCAAGTACATGTATATGCCATTGTTAAGGTAATAGGATTGTGTCGCCATTTCTCATTAGAATTTCTTCAAATTTTGTAGTTATATCGCTAGTTGCAGTTAGTTGTAGTTTTTCTGCGACAAAAAAAATAAAGGTTGTCATAATTTTAAGGAATTTAAATGGAAATTTATGTAAAAAGGAGTGACTTTTGAAAAAAAAATGAAAGACACAATTTTTTGCGAAATAATGTCAATACAAATAATACTGCCAAAGAATAGTATTTCATTAATGTATATCAAATTAATAAATGCTGAAATTATGTCAAATAAATGATCAATAAACGATTAAAAATTGACATTTTATAATAAAACCATATGTACATAGTAATTGCAGGTAAGAGTTATCTTTCTTGAAAAACTTCACAGTAGTGAAATAGGTAGCCGGTTTCCTGAAGTACAGAAAAATGGATACATGTGGCTCATTGATAAAAAAAAAAAAACACCTGAATTAATGCCTGTATTGCTTTGAAATACTTTAATATTGAGAGATAACACTGTTCTGTCAATAATAAACATACAATATTCATCAGTTTAATATTTAACATTAGAATATGCGGAAATTGTGATACTGTCTCCCTACATTGGATTTTCAACTAGGGATGTACTTCCTACTTCCGTTTATCAATACACTCCTATGACCTTAAGTTAATGTGGAGTAATTGAGTTGTCCTTCTTGGAATAGTGGATCACAGCGACTGTTGTGAAAGAAACTGTAAACATGGATACATACAATTCCATGAAGCTGAGATTAAACTCAGTTTTCATTTCGTAGTTTTGGTTTTTCCTTTCTTTTATAAACTGCACACATGTTAATGCCAGTCTTAACCCCTGCCCCACATAGTTTAGGACTTTGAAATCAATATCACGAGGAAATTATGAAATGTGTAAAGCGGCAGATTTGCTAAAAGTAAATATATGCTTTGCTAATGTTTACCCAATGGAACTCGAGAACGCAAATAACTAATAATACATAAGTTGAATAAATAGCCATTTTAATAAATAAATATACAACATTTGATATAGCGCCCTTTCTAGCTAACATAAGCCACTCTAAAGCGCTTTACAGTACATAGATATACAATTTTATACAGTCAAATATAATTAGCATATATGTTAATCAATAAAATATTAAGGAATTCGCAGGAGCTGCCTTATCAGGCGCTAACTACTAGTTCTATGCCACCTTGCTATTATCTCCCTATGTGTGTATGCATGTGTGTGTGCTGGAGATGTATTGTGTTTTGTGTTATACCATGTTATACACCTCATTTGTCAATATCTTTTTTTCGCAAAGCAGCGATACATTTAAAATGCTAGGTTTCATTAACAATGTGCTAAGCATGGAAATGTGTGTTTTGGTAAGAAAATATACTACCCTTTTTAAATGCAAAAATTGTAACTTTGTAAATGTTCAAAATATTTTCCCGTAATACCAGCCGCGTTCAATACGTCATATGGAAAGGAAATTAGGAACAATATACGAACAAATTTGATTATTGAGCAGAATTGGTTTTTAATTACCGTATTGTTGATAAGAAAGTGGGACTGACAACAAACATCTACTATGACACAAGACATACCTCACATACATCGATAAATCGATTATTTATTGATCCAAATCCGATCTCATTATCACCAACAGCTGTTACATGTAAATTCCGTCCTCGGTTTTCAATTGTTCAAAAGTTCCTACCTGAGCGAAAGCTATTTTGTATGTCATATGGGTGACTAATCAACAAACCGTACTTTTTCTTGTTTTGAAGATTTTCGGACCGCCTCTTTTTGTTGAATAGTCCATCCTATGACCTACACAAATGGTGTTCGCTCAGGCGGGAAATTTTGAACCATTGAAAAAGATGTTGGCTGGTTGATACGGCGCAATAATCACGGTTTATAATTTAGGAACCGCTTTGAGACGACCTACGAATTCGAACAAGGTTGTGATAAAGCGGTATATAAGAACCTCCAATTATTATTTTTCTTCTTATTATTATTATTTCAATCCATACTCGTAAAAGACAGCTAAATACTATAATTAGTGGTATTCATGAAGATTGTTGGCATTATAATGACTCCATACGAGTTATCTCCCTTCAGTGGTTACCTTTACATAAACTAGGTAAGGTTTCCGATATTATTGTAATGTGAAGATAACTCATGTATTGCCGTTTGAAGGTTTGAAAATATGAACCATGTTTGTTTCAAAACCTAGAAAGGTGCATGCATTAATATGTTTCTAACTGAAATGACTACTTAGTATTCGCAATTACTCAGTGACGTAACATTATACATACAATCTCTAAGATCGTGATGAAATATCATAAAGAATTAGTCAGAGATGGTACATGTATGTTCTAAGAATAACTAAAAAGTCAAGTTCTTGAAGTGCAATATTGTTCTTTATATAATCAGAAAGTATCAGGATAGGACGTTCTAAAAAGAATAAGTAAGTATCAGGATAGGACGTTCTATAAAAAAATCAATAAGTATCAGGATCAGGCGTTCTATAAAGAATCAATAAGTATCAGGACAGGACGCTCTATAAAGAATCAGTTAGTATCAGTATCAGACGTTCTATAAAGAATAAGTAAGTATCAGGATCAGACGTTCAATAAAGAATAAGAAAGTTTCAGGATAGGACGCTCTATAAAGAATCAGTAAGTAACAGGATAGGACGTTCTATAAAAGATAAGTAAGTTTCAGGACAGGACGCTCTATAAACAATCAGAAAGTATCAGGATAGCACGTTCTGTGAAGCATAAGTAAGTATCAGGATAAGCGTTCTATAAATAATCAGAAAGTATCAGGATAGGACGCCCTATAAAGAATCAGAAAGTATCATGATAGGACGTTCTATAAAGAATCAGTAAGTATCAGGATCAGATGTTCTATAAAGAATAAGTAAGTATAAGGACAGGACGGTCTATAAACAATCAGTAAGTATCAGGATCAGACGTTCTAAAAAGAATAAGTAAATATCAGGATCAGACGTTCTATACAAAATAATTAAGTATCAGAATAGGACGCTTTATAAAGAATCAGTAATTATCAGGACAGGACGCTCTATAAAACAATCAATAAGTATCAGGATCAGATGTTCTATAAAGAATAAGTAAGTATCAGGATAGGACGCCCTATAAAGAATCAGAAAGTATCAGGATAGCACGTTCTATGAAGAATAAGTGAATATCAGGATGCGACACTCTATATAGAATCAATAAATATCAGGATAGCACGTTCTATGAAGAATAAGTAAATATCAGGATAGGACACATTAACAAGATTAAATAAATATCAGGAGAGGACACTCTAACAAAAATCAGTAAATATCAGTATAGAACGTCCTATAAAGAATCAGAAAGTATCAGGATAGAACGTTCTATAAAAAAAATAGGTAAATGTTAGGATAGGACGCTCTATAAAAAATCTGAAAGTATCAGGATAGGACACACTAACAAGAATAATTAAATATCAGGATAGGACACTCTAACAAGAATCAGTAAGTATCAGGATAGTACACTCTAACAAGAATCAGTAAATATAAGGATATGACGTCCTATAAATAATCAGAAAGTAGCAGGATAGCACGTTCTATAAAGAATAAGTAAATGTCAGGATAGGACGTTCCATAAAGAATCAGAAAGTATCAGGATAGGACGTTCTATCAAATATAGGTCAATAACCGGATAGCACGTTCTATAAAGAAAAACTTAATATCAGGATATGACGTTCTATAAAGAATAACTAAATATCAGGATAGGACGTTCTATAAAGAAAAATTAAATATCAGGGTAGGACGTTCTATAACGAATAACTAAATATCAGGATAGGACGTCCTATAAAGAATCAGAAAGTATCAGGATAGGACGTCCTATAAAGAATCATTAAATATCAGCATATAACGCTCTATAAAGAATAAGTAAATGGCAGGATGGGACAATCTATAAAGAATAAGAAAATATCAGGATAAGACGCTCTTTAAAAAAATAAGTGAATATCAGGATAGGACGTAGTAAAGGGATTAAAAAAGTATCAGGATTGAACGCTCTTTCAAGGATAAGTAAATATCAGGATAAGTCACTCAATAAAAATTAGTGAATATCAGGATAGGACGTCCCAAAAGGAATAAAAAAAAGTGTCAGGATTGGACGCTCTATCAAGAATAAGTAAATATCAGGACAGAACGCTCTATAAAGAATCAGTAAGTATCAGGACAGGACATCCTATAAAATATAGTAAATATCAGGACAGAACGCTCTATAAAGAACAGTATCAGGACAGGATATCCTATAAAGTATAGTAAATATCAGGACAGAACGCTCTTTTAAAAAAGTATATATCAGGATAGGACACTCTATACAGAATCAGTGAATATCAGGATAGGATATAATATAATAAGTAAATGTAAGGATAGGACGCTATATAAAAAAATCAGAAACTATCAGGATAGCACGTTCCAAAACAAATCAGAAACCATCAATATAGGACGTTATATAAATATTAAGTAAATATTAGGATAGGACATCCAATAAAGAAAAAGTGAATATTAGGATATAACGCTCTATAAAGGTTCAGTGAATATCAGGATAGAACGTCTTATAAAGAATAAGTAGAAATCAGGATAGGACGCTCTATAAAGGTTAAGTGAATATCAGGATAGGACGTCTTATAAAGAATAAGAAGATATCAGAATAAGACGCTCTATAAAGGTAAGGTGAATATCAGGATAGAACGTCCTATAAAGAGTAAGTGAATACCAGGATAGAACGTCTTATAAAGAATAAGTAGATATCAGGAAAGGACACTCTATAAAGGTTAAGTGAATATTAGGATAGGACGTCCTATAAAGGATAAGTAACTATCAGGATAGGACGTTCTATAAAGAATACGTAAATATCAGGATAGGACGTTCTATATAGAATAAGTAAATATCAGGATGGGACGTCCAATAAAGAATCAGTAAATATCAGGATAGGACGTCCTATAAAGAATCAGTAAGTTTCAGAATAGGACGCTCTATAAAGACAAAATCAAATGTAAGGATAGGACTTTCTATAAAGAATAAGTTAATATCAGAATAGGACGTTCTATAAACAATCAGAGAGTATCAGGATAGCACGTTCTATAAAGAATGAGAAAGTATCAAGATAGGACATACTAACAAGAATAAGTAAATATAAGGATAGGACACTCAATAAATAATCAGTAAGTATCAGAATAGGACATTCTAACAGAAATATGTGAATATCAGGATAAGACGCTCTATAAAGAAATATTAAATGTAAGGATAGGACTTTCTATATAGAATAAGTGAATATCGGGATAGAACGTCCTATAAAGAATAAGTGAATACCAGGATAGAACGTCTTATAAAGAATAAGTAGATAGCAGGAAAGGACGCTCTATAAAGGTTAAGTGAATATTAGGATAGGACGTCCTATAAAGAATAAGTGAATATCAGAATAAGACGCTCTATAAAGACAAAATCAAATGTAAGGATAGGACTTTCTATAAAGAATAAGTGAATATCAGAATAGGACGTTCTATAAACAATCAGAGAGTATCAGGATAGCACGTTCTATAAAGAATCAGAAAGTATCAAGATAGGACACACTAACAAGAATAAGTAAATATAAGGATAGGACGCTCAATAAATAATCAGTAAGTATCAGAATAGGACACTCTAACAGAAATATGTGAATATCAGGATAACACGCTCTATAAAGAAAAATTAAATGTAAGGATAGGACTTTCTATATAGAATAAGTGAATATCAGGATAGAACGTCTTATAAAGAATAAGTAGATATCAGGATAGGACGCTCTATAAAGGTTAAGTGAAAAACAGGATAGGACGTCTTATAAAGAATAAGTAGATAACAGAATAGGACGCTCTATAGAGACAAAATCAAATGTAAGGATAGGACTTAATATAAAGAATAAGTGAATATCAGAATAGGACGTTCTATAAACAATCAGAGAGTATCAGGATAGCACGTTTTATAAAGAATCAGAAAGTATCAAGATAGGACACACTAACAAGAATAAGTAAATATAAGGATAGGATAATCAATAAATAATCAGTAAGTATCAGAATAGGACACTCTAACAGAAATATGTGAATATCAGGATAAGACGCTCTATAAAGAAAAATTAAATGTAAGGATAGGACTTTCTATATAGAATAAGTGAATATCAGGATAGAACGTCTTATCAAGAATAAGTAGATATCAGGATAGGACGCTCTATAAAGGTTAAGTGAATATCAGGATAGAACGTCTTATAAAGAATAAGTAGATATCAGGATAGGACGCTCTATAAAGGTAAGGTGAATATCATGATAGGACGTCCTATAAAGAATAAGTGAATACCAGGATAGAACGTCTTATAAAGAATAAGTAGATATCAGGAAAGGACGCTCTATAAAGGTTAAGTGAATATTAGGATAGGACGTCCTATAAAGAATAAGTAACTATCAGGATAGGACGTTCTATAAAGTATAAGTAAGTATTCGGATAGGACGGTCTATAAAGAATAATTGAATATCAGGATATGACGTTCTATAAAGAATCAGAAAGTATCAGGATATGACGTTCTATAAAGAAGCAGTAAGTATCAGGATATGACGTTCTATAAAGAATCAGAAAGTTTCAGGATCAGACGTTCTATAAAAAAACAATAACATTCATTGCGTAACGTTCTATCCAATTAAGCATGTTGAAAATAATTACATAAGTTAAATAAATAGTATTTGATTCGATGTTTAGAGAAATAAGATTTCTGACTTGTTCTTGTTCTCTTAACTTTACAACGCTTCATGACATCATTCGCTATAGTACTGTTGTATTATTGACATACACTACTTGACCTGCTCCGCTTGAGTGATAGGTTTAATTATCAGACTAGCATTCAATATTGCAGTGTAATATCCGACAACGTTAGCCTATTACAATATGACACACTTGCCAGGGCTTTACAGCTATTGTGTCGGAGCTGTAAATATGTAGTGATGAAATTCTAAAGATTACTGGATGCTTTGTCGGTATGTGTTGAAATTCTTAATCAATTAATTAAGCTGTAATAGTTTGGTATGTTACTTTGACTACTATCCAGTGCTACATCTATTGTACGTACGTAAATATTTCAGAGAGCGGTCTAACCAGTCGGCATGCCCTCATCAGCGATCAAACTACATCATGTAGTGCACCTTCTTTATAATGCAATTTAATTTATCTTGCTGCTTATTGTCGATGTTCACAATAAATTATTGCTTTCACTTATTACTTTCAACGAATTTGATTAGGTATACTTCCTAAGCCATGCATTGGTATCATAATGTGTATATATATATCGATATAGTAGGTTTGGTTTACAATATTTTATTGATACAGCGATGAAAAGAACAAGACAACATGTTTTGACAAAATATAATTGTTCTCTCCACAATTAAATTGATTCAAGGTTTGGTTTTACGTCCACTCCACTACCGAATAGTTTGGTTATCCGGCAGACGAAGAAATTCAGGAAAATGAGAAGAAGGGATAAAGTATGGAGTGAAGGAATAGAAAAGGGAGACAGAGGAGAGAAGGAGCTGTGTAACCTATATGTATTAAGGTATACATCTATATTTTGTAAAACGACTCCTATGCCTTATGTTTGCCTTAACCTAACACTAGTTGTAAGGCAGCACCAAAGCCTGGATCGGAAGTGTGGTACCGAGTCGCCGTCAGCCACACCAGCTCCTGACTTTTTTTTATAAACTTTTGTTTAGAATATATACTTCGGAAGGCCTTCTAAATGTCTAATAACGTATATCTATATGCGTATATAGCAGGTTTTACCCATAATAACAGGATCACGTGACATATATAATGTTTGCACTGAATTCTCACCAAACTGATGTGTAGTTGAAACTTTGGTAGTAACGGGTGGCTCATAAGGATCTGTAAATAGACAGAATCACTTCATTAATGAATGTTTGCTATATAGAAATAAAAGGAAACGAAAGAGTCGTTTATTTGGGGGAAAAACTTATGCAAATCAAGTCATATTAATTATTTAAACAAAATGTCGTTGTTTTAAAGACAAAAATAATTGCTTGACGCATATACAATGTAATGATATGAAGACTGGGAGTACAATCGGAGACGTAACATTTGAGGACCAACTTTGTGGTGATGACGTAATGGATAGATAAGTGACAGCTCGAAATTACCAAAATCTCGATAAGTCTTGAGGATCCCACAACAATCTCTGATAAAAATAAACGACGAATTCAGCAAAGATAACGATGTTTGTTCGTAGTTGTAACCAGGTAAAATTAAAGTTAATCTGTACAGCGCGAGAAGTGAAATGAGGTAAACAAAACTGTGTTATTGACAACTCAGTTAGTATCCACACAAAAGCTTTTCTACTATGTAAAAAAATAACAAGTTACATCTACATTCAATGTCACAATGAAATGGACTACGGTCGCGGAGATAGACGGTAGCTATACTAAAGGGATATTTGGGTTTGGTTATAGTGTGTTAATTATTCTATTGCACATTCCTATAAGTGTTTTTACTTTTCCTTACATGCTTCTTTTTCACATATGAAGTTTTCTTCTAAGCGGCACGAAGCGTCCTGCCAACGTCTGTCAATCACACGTACGCAGTCCTCATTCAAAAGGTCCGGCTGTCCAACATCCCAGATAGTCATGTCACTCTAGGAACAAAGGCAACCAGGTTTGATTCTAGGGTTTCAATATGTGTGTTTACTTACGGAACACTTAGGAAACATATGTATTTGTCTGAGGAACTGAACACAATGTATGTAATTTGTTATATCAGCAAAAACATTTAAAATAATGAACAATAATTAACGTTGTATATAAAGGTTCAGACAACTCAAACATCAGCTAGCCATTACGTTGTATATAAAGGTTCAGACAACTAAAATATCGTAAGCAAATACATTGTATATAAAGTTGAAAACAACTAAAACATCAGCTGGCCCTACGTTGTTTATAAAGATTTAGACAACACAATTATCAGCAAGCAAATGAGCTTTATAAAAAGGATAAGACAACTAAAACATATGGTGGCTTATTTGTTCAATTTCGTTATTTCGTTATTTTGCCGCGAAATAAAAAGATTATAGAAGGTCGTTTTTTCGTATTTTCGCGGCGAAATAACGACATTATATTTGAATCTTAATTGTCGAGCGAAAAGACGAAATAATTACGCGATATTATCGACCTACAACTGTCGTTATTTCGTGTAACAAATTTCGTCATTTCGTCATTTCGTTAATTCGCGGCGAGAACACGACATTTAGTAAAGTAAAAAATGTCGTCGTTTCGTTATTTCGCAGCGAGATCACGACACTTAGGGAAAATAAAATGTCGTCGTTTCGTTATTTCGCGGCGAGATTACGACATTTAGTAAAGTTAAAATGTCGTCGTTTAGTTATTTAGCGGCGACATTATGACATTTAGCAAAGTTAAAATGTCGTCATTTCCGTTAGTCGCTGCGAAATGACGACATTTTAACTTTACTTTTGTCGTCTTTTCTCCTTTTTTGAGGTGAAAAGGCGAGATGACGACAATTTAGATACACATATTCTATAATTTAGAATCTCGTTATTTCGCGGCGAAATAACGAAATAACGAAATGGCACAAATAAGCCTCCAAAAAAAAAACATCAGCTAGGCATTACTTTGTAAATTAAAGCTAAGCAACTGAAACATTAGCAGACCACTACGTTGTATATTGAAGTTGTGATTACCAAAGTTCCATCTAGCCAGTAGAATGTATTCTCTTTGTAGGGTTTTGCTGCAATCCAGAAACTGGTTGAGGAATAACCTGTTATTTTGTCTGAAAATGGAATAAACATGGTAAAGCGATATAAGGGATTTACATGTTTTGCAACATCTAGTGTATGAATAGACTAAAAGAAACCAAAGAATAGTGTAAAAGGCGTACAAACCATAAAGAAGCTAACAAAATTGCTTATTGCATCAATTTTGATAAAGATGCTGATATATTCTTGAATTCTCGTAGCACGTTGTCTCTCCGATTTCACCTTACCTTTATCAAAACTCTTTTTATACCACAACTGACACTTAACATTTTGAGCAATGAGCATTATTCATGTTGTAACTTAAGTCAATATCGATATAAACTTACGAAAAAGATATACAACATTTCATATAGCGCCCTGTCTAACTAGAATAAGCCACACTAAAGCACTTAACATAACAAAGATATACGATTTATACATTAATCAATAGATTTTTATCAGGAATTCACAGGAGCTGCCCTATCAGGCGCTAACTACTTGTCCTATGCCACCTGGCTAATATCTCCTTGTGTGTGTATGCCTGCGGGTGTGCTGGAGATGTATTGTGTTCTGTTTGTAGTGGGACCGTACTATCAATGGTATCATTTATAGTGCAACCTCACTTGAATGCTACAGTTCAAATACCGCAACATCTACCCCAGACCAAATTATACTTAAACTGGATTGTTGGAGTTGTGTGGGCAGGCAAAAAAACACTTTCTCTGGATATTACAAGCGTCCGACGACTTTGGGGAATGAGCCCCGGCCGCCTGGTTGGAAGGCCGAATTGTAAACCACTCGACCAATCCGCAATAAGTAATAGTATATAACAAAACATTAAGAAACTAATAATGTTAGGAATATATAACATATATTTTACAATGGTTTATGTGATAACATCCTACTTCATTAAGTGGCAACCTGTCAGAACTGCAGAAATGTTATAAGCCTTATTATACACGCGCAATTTTGACTCCTTTCCATTTCGGTCTGGGCATGACCATAAATATCTATACACTAAATCTGGTGAAAATCAGTAGACAATTAAACAGATTGTGTCCGGAAAATCAAGCAGAACTAAGGACAAACCCATTACACTGTAGCTAATGCCTTCGTAATTTGGCTCTAACTTTGGACACCTACACTCAGCAGTAAGATAGTATTCCCAGTGCGACAGTGTTCTACTGAAATGGCGCATTTTAATGTAAAGAAGAACAACAAAAAGAAGAAGACAGACGGATTGTCTCCCGGTTCTGTAATTTGTATTTGAAAGTACATGTATCAGTTAAGCTGTTTCAAGCTAATGTTAGAAATTATTGTATAATTACGACATTTTTTTCCGTATTCATTATGCATGGCATGTTTTTGTGTCCAGGCGATGATAATGTGCCAGATAATACAATGACACATATAATTGCTCGAGTCTCTTTACTGAATTATGTATATCAATAGTCACGCACTATTTGTTAGTAGGGTGTTAGCCTACAAATCAGGGGGAGATAACTAATTATTTAGGTTAAAATGGTACGGTTTGAATACAAAAGAGTGATATCGTACAGTCTATGGCCGGCGATATATCAAGCCAACTGTAATAGCAGTGCTGTACTATGTGGGCGAACTGTGGTATAGAGATATAGTTACATGTACTACCTTTCAGGAAACTATCGATTTCTGGCGTCATGTGAACTAGATGACATTGTCTCTCGACGCATGACGAATGACAGTGATCCCAAGAAAAATGCTCCTGTGGAGTAAATCTCCTATGCATAAAACACGTATCACTTCCATATTGGTGCAAGTTCTCGGGCGTAAATCCTGATCTTTCCATAGTGGACGTATCACTGCATTTCTTCGACACTGTATAACAAATGAGATACAAACATAGTTAGTCCATAAGGACCATACGAGTAGCACTGTTTACACGTCAAATACGAAAGGACACCAAATATCAGAATACATTATTATACGATAATTATTGGATTTTTTTGGTTTGATTTGTTTGTGTTTTTACATCCTTATACTTACATTCTGTACGCTTGGACCCATTGGCGAAGATGACATTCATTTTTGCATTACACAGGTGACCTAATTACTGCGTATTGATACGCTTTAATGACGTAACACAGTGCGTAATTGGTACACGTCCGCCGTGAAGCAGTCCTCGATGTAGTTTAGTTATGCTAATATGATTAACATTAATGAGTATGATAGGCTTCATTTAAAGCTCAAATGAGTTGTGTAAGATACATGATTCAAATATCCGACTTTTGTAAATTCTACAAATAAAAAATTGAAAATGGAACAATATTCTGCTTGTTTTGTTGTCATGCTGTTGCTAGGACTCCCAGCAAAAGTTTTACATTTTTCCCGATAAAACACGCTGTTCTAAATAGAAAACAATGCCGCTATTACTTTTTATTTATGCTTGCATCGGTATATTCAAAGCATTTAAACATGTAAATAACGCTAACGCGATCCATGGAATATGTCCAGAAAGCCAATGTTGTTATGACATCATGGATGTTGAAAAAAATGCATTTCTTAACTAAAAGCAATGGTCATTTAAGGACGTGCCAGGTTTTGGTGGTGGAGAAAAGCCAGAGATCCTCGAGAAAAAACACCGACCTTCAGCCAGTATCTGGCGACTGCAACACGAAGGTTTCGATCCTGCGACCCAGTGGTGGAAGGCTAGTAGAAGCTGAATGTTAGACGCCTTGACTACATGACCACCGCGGCCCCTTACTGTTTTATAGTATAGAGCTTGTGTGGAATGTATTATTTACAAAAGCTTTGTATTTTCCAAGTTATTATACTCATGCCCACTAATCATTTCAAAAGACAACATTTCATCAATGTTTGAAGAAAGAATCGAAATAATCAATGCACAATGATAACGTTAAAAATATCATAATATCGAGGTAGCATACACACTTTACATGTCAGAGTGAGGCAACAACACACTTTGAATGTCAACGGGAGAAAGCATACAGACTATATTAACAAACGTGAAGTAGAATAAACAAGTTATAGGTCAGAAAGTCGTAGCATTAACAGTTAACACGTCAAAGTGAAATAGCTTACACTATATTTACGTCAGAGTTGGGTACCAGTAACACTTTTAAAACACGGCAGAGTGAAGTAGTATACATATTTTACACGTCATGCTGAGGTAGTGTAAACAATAAACACATCAGAGGGAGATAGCATACAAACTGTGCACGTGAGAGTAAGGAAGCATACTCAGTTTACGCATCATACCATGGTAGCATACACACTTTACACGTGAGAGTAGAGTAACATACTCAGTTTACACATTAGGGGGAGATAGCATACAAACTTCACACCTGACAGTAGGGTACCATACTCAGTTTACACATCAGAAGAAGGTAGCATACACACTTTATACGTGAGAGTAGGAAAGCATACTAAGTTTACACATCAGAAGAAGGTAGCATACAAACTTTACACATGAAAGTAGGGTAGCATACTTTAGTTTACACATCAGAGGGAGGTAGCATACACATTTTGCAAGCGGGAGGAAGGTATCATAATCAGTTTACACATCAGAGGGAGGCAACATACAAACTGTACACGTGCGAGTAGGGTAGCATACACAGGTAACACATCAGTGGAAGGTAGCATACAAATTGTACACGTGAGAGTAGGGTTGCATGCCCACGTTCCAAATGAGAGATGGTGTGGCATTCAGCACTTCAAACGTCAGAGTGTTGAAGCATAATCATTTGACATATCCAAATAAGGTAACACACGTCTTTACATGAGTAAAAATAACCAAACATATTAGTATATAAGTATCAATAAGCACATACAATCAACACCACTTAAATATTGCTGTAATTATGTCAAGCACTGTATAGAATGATATAAAGATTAAACAAAAACTAGTAAATGATACCTTGGCATATGAATCCGCGTGGTACACCAGCGGCCGGATCATCGCAACTATGATCTTTCATAAAACCGCCTTGGGAATAGACGCATGCTAATACTCCGTTATTTGGTTCTCCGATAAACCACTTGAGAGTCGTTGCCTAAAAGTAGTCATCGATACTAGCTATGACTATTATTGTCTTGAAACACATATGATTCATAGCTGGCATGCATGCACACGCAAGATTATCTGCACGAGATACAGACAAGCCATACTTACATTAAAACAAAGTTATATATACACATTGTTAAGACTTTATATCTGACAAAGGTATCAAACGCGAAAGAAATTGTCTGCATGGAATATAAATAAGGCATAAACTACACCATCTTCAATAAGATTCATCAGTTTCGTAATGTGTAATATCAAAGTTTTTCTCCATGCACTAACGTGTTGCAGCGTTTCTTGACCAAAAAGGTACCAGTCGTTCTTGAAACGTTGTGACATGTTTAATATGAATATTGCTAGTGTATAAAGTATATATAAAACTTTAAAAAAAATAACGTTATAGCTTATACCAATATACTTGTATAAGAATGTACACACGGATATCAGGCAATTCAATGCTATGTTATAAAACAAAAGCACATAGTGTACGCACATATGTTTGTTTATGCGCTTTCAGTTAACCACTTGATAATGAACAGTTTAATAGAAAATGTGAATAATAAGTGCAATGTAAGAAGCAAATTGAAGAGTAATGAAGGTACATAAATAGTAAGGTCGAGCATTGACAGCAATACAAAATCCCCAAGCAAACAAACGACTACATGTGTATGGTTAAGGACGAGACCCGGTTTCATGAAACGTGCGGCCATCACTACATATATTCGCATAAACAAAAAATAAACGTATACCTCGGACAATGTTACGCTTGAAGAGGGAAGGACTACACATTTTTACATTTGGCCAAAGAACAGATTCCGAACGTGACACTCAGTCATCCAATAGGTTTATACTGGCAAATGTAGGTGACAGATATATGCAACTGCCAAAGTGACGCATGGAACGTCAGACAGACTGAATCATAGATGAACGGGGTACAAACATATCATTGTTCTAAAATTGTATTTTCTTATCCTGCTCATCATATATGTAATAATAGCCTATTCTCCTGGTTTTAGAAAATCTACAACAAAGATTCTGTCTTCGACCATAGTGTTTGTGGATGTCGATTAAGTTTCTTTAAATAGTGGGGACTATCTCATACAATGCATCGTATGTGTTTGCATCACAGTTGTGTGCCGAGGCCTGTTGGCACAGGTAACCAGTGAGGTGAATACAGTACTGACTTATTGTGTCTATCGAGCACAGGTATGCAGACATGCTGCCGTGTTCTGGACCCTTCAATATAGTGCAGTTAATGTATGACAGATATACATGTATTATACCGGAGAGGAGAGCATTTTCGAAGCACTAAAATTGTATATGCACCTATAGTGATAAACTGCCAGATACATTCAAAGGAGTTGCAAAAATCACATTTTTGTTGTAAATACATCCACAAGTACGTCTTACTTGCAAGTTTTTGTGTATTTTAACCAAATAAGCACGTGCTATATGCAACGTAGGATTGACATGCGTGATATTACTTTTATTACATAGTTTCAAATCTGGTATAGTAGATTTTGAAATGATATTTACATGTTTCTGCACTAGCCTATTGAATTATCATAGCATACCCTACATCAAACCTTATCCATGTCCCCCAACTCTACCCCACCCCCTCCCCCTTCCCAGTCCAACAATCACATTTTCCCAACGTCAACCCCAAACCCATCTAGAACTCCCTTTATATTGCGATTCCGACTTTTACTCGAGATTATGTGTCTGCTGATGCTTGCGAGACAAACAGTTAGCCCTGTGTGTTCCTGCATCTAAACCTACACAATCAACTTACAGTCGTATGATATGGTATAATCACTGTCATGTGGCTTGATAACCATGAGGATTTGTTTATGTAACGTAATAATGAAATCGAATAATTTAACAACACAAAGGCTTACAAGTACATCGTACCATAGATGACGGTTAGCAAACATAATTCACGAAGACAATATAATAATTTGATGATAGGCAAAAGGTAATTAGATAACACAAAGGCTTACAAGTACATCGTACCATAGATGACGGTTAGCAAACATAATTCACGAAGACAATATAATAATTTGATGATGGGCAAAAGGTAATTAGATATATAAATGCTTCCACGAAAGGAACATTTTACCGAGAAAGGACATCAGACATCAGATAACAATAATAGAGTTGAACAATTTTGGTTCAATTTCATTAAGACCTCATTATATAATGACATTCACCAGATTCCATATCTTGGAATTTAGGTAAAAACAGGATAAAATGAAATAGAGTTTGTACTATACACTAATCAGTGTTGGACTATACCTACATTGTTTTCATTGAAGTTCCTGTATTCATAATAGTCGGTACGTCTCAGCCCAATCCAGTACATGTCGTTGAACACGGTCGCTGCCGTGACTGGAAAATATAGGTCGTAATCTGGTGTCATTATTCATTGTTAACTGATGTGAAAACAAATACATTATCGTTGTGCAAACATATAATATGCTTTCAAATAGTGGTTCTCCGCTCGGAGGTCATGTAAAAAAAAGTCAATTTTCCAAAGATATTTGCTGGAAACTTCAATATATCGCGACCAGGACAACGGCCAAGATATTGAAGATGCAAGAAAATTGGAAAGGCGACAGGACATTATACAGATTTTGTAAAAATATTATATAGAAATATTTTGTTTACGAAAAATAGTAACAAAACAAAATAAGGCTTAATAAATATCTGTTCAAAGGGTGTTCCGTTTAATTTTGACTGAAACATGCGGTTTTCTGCTCAAAATCTACTCAACCTGACTTCCTCAAATGCTGTGTAATTATGTTCTAGAGGCAATATTTTCTTATAAAAAAAAATCAAGATTCTATATCAAGATCAAATACTTTCAAAACATTATTGCTCATTTAATTAACTTATATTTGTCGCAATATGAATTGACAACCACAAAATGAAAATGATTTTATAACACATGGAATCATTCCTATTCAACATTTTGGTGAATTTGTATTAAATTATGTTTTTTTCATTGCCTAAAATTTTAAATAACAAACGCAAAATGTGTTGTTCAGCTTTTTCGTGGTGTCCAAGGTTGTGTTTGTATCATTTCAGTTACAGTTTTTATTTCCTTATTTGAAAAAAAGGGGAAAAAGCAATGCACAATAAACAAAAAGCGACAAACAAACATAAACTACATCAAATATAATGTATTTTAGGCAATTTTCTTGGGTTGACTATTAACTTCCATTAAACGACCAAACCTATACGCAGATGAACCTTTTAAGTAATAATGTAGTATAGATATCTGTAATTCTCAGTATAAAACACAGCTGTTATATGTTATGGTGGTAATAAAAATGCACAATATACTGTCTTTACCTGCTAGATAGGTGTTCAACTCCAGGTATTTTATGTGTACCAGCCTTGCATTCTGTGCAGTACATGTGTTGTTAGCGTCGATCCAGTTTTTCTTTTCATGATGAAATTTATAGCAAGTTCCGTTTCGGTAGTACCATCCGTGGTCACAAGGTCCTGTATTAACGATATTACAACATCAATTAATTGACTATTGATATTGATATCAGTACTGGTAGAATAACATATATGAAAGTACAAAAATATTTCCAAACCATTCTTTTAAAACTTATAACTTGAATATATTTTTTGATAATAATGAAAAGCAATGACAAAATCATATGTTTCGAGTCATCTTGACGTCATTTTGTAATTGATTTATTATAATTAATAGATGTATATACATTGTATATATAAGCATGTATAACTCGATACATTGTATATATAAGCATGTATAACTCTATACATTGTATATATAAACATGTGTAACTCTATACATTGTCTGCACTATCTGTATTTCTTCTTTGCCCACGTATATATGCAAGTTATACGAATCCAGCCAACGTGTGTTTTTGTCGGATCCAGTGCTAATATATCTATACTGTCATTGCCACTTATGATACTTATATATTTAATTTTATATTTATATGACAAATATACAAAGTGGCCCGATGAGACTGATAAAGTTAGGGGTGAAGATTCGATTTTCTTTTGATAACAATGAAAATAATAATAGAAAAAACCATTTTTTAATAAATAGTGTTTACATTTTGGTGGCAGCCTTCTATTGTTTAACTCAAATATTTTATTAAATTATTTACCGTATTGAAGACGCGTCAATAATTGTGAAAAAAACGATAGTACTATGTTTTTAAACTTGATATTATATATATATCATTTTTAAATTACAAAATGAAAAAAAGGTGTGTACAGTCTTGTATATTAGGGTTTTTTGATGTTTTTTTAGGGAAACTAGCGGGGATATTTTTCAGCCATACAGTTATAATTACTACTTCATCAAATTGGTCTAAATCCTACCCATGAACCCCGAATGCATTTAGCATATAGAAAGCACATATTCACACTTATTCACGAGAGTCATACCTGCTATACACATTGTTATCCAACCACCTAGGCACAGTACCAAACAGAGGAGGATTGGTAAGTCAATGTGTGACATTCCGATGACTGTGTTGGTTGGTCTGTAATCATAATGACATATACACCATAAAAACAATATCAGAAATATACTGTTGATACACATATGTACAATATATATGCAATCCTAGATATGAAGGGGTTAAGTAAGGGACCGAATGCCTAATTGGCCTCATTTTGTCAATATTTGAAACCTCTGTTCATTATTTGTATGTATTGATATGCCCTAACGGCATACACCGAGAAAAGGAGAAAACACTAAAATAATGTCTACCTGACATCCACTGACAGGATGATACATTTGTTTGCATGTAACTAGGGGTATTGCTCCCTTTTCTAAAGTGTCAACTTTCATTGTCTATTCTATGAATATATACGTAGCGACTGAATGGTTCAAACAGTAGTGTAATTCGTCATCATATAAACTGACAACCAGATATACTACACCTTCTATTTTATTATGTACATACATTATTGTATCAAATTGTACTGCCAAAGTCAATGTTCCGCCAAAATGTCCTTGGGCGGGAGGTGGCGGTATATCGGGGATATATATACAGACGAATGTTAAAATTGACAAATTGCAAGTATATTATATGAAAACAATTATTGTTGACAAAAGTAGACGTTACGGTTTGCGCAAGATGTAACGTCTGCTTTTGTTGATAATAATTATTTACATCTACTTATATGTATTCACGTAAATAATGTATATAACCTGTTAATTAAGTGATGATCCCGAATATGGGGCTAAAGGCTAGCAGCTCTGCCTACTAGTTAATTGAATTCTTTATATTGTGCCGACACGATATATCACATCGTATACCCCCTCCCCCACCCCACCCACTTTGTAAAACATCACAGATAAGGGAGATGGTCACGGTTCAGTTAATGATATGATATCATGGATAGTATCATATATCGGGTTCCAAGTCATTTGACAATGTCTTTTTGTCACAACCTTAAATAATTTGTTCCACCCGCCCATCCACACACGAACACACACACGCTGTCATCAACCCTTTGAATTTCACGTTTCTGGCGTCCTAGATTTGAATGACTAACTCCACATACCTGTATACTGTATTTGCAGTATTTATGAAGGGATGGTTCTAACAAGAAATGACAGTCCACACTCAGAAAACCAAATAGTCATACTTATCAATAAAAAAAGCTTTGTTTTATTTTCATTATTCATAAAAACCCCTCCAACAATAAATAAGTGTGACAACGAAATATGTAAGTAAACCAAAACATTTCATAAGCATATCCTCTTTAAGGTAGAAGCGGAGCCAGGTGCGTTTAATATTGATACACGAGAACAAATATTGTCAAATACTTAGATATGGAGGTGTTTTTTTTTATATTTTTACTGGCAATGTGATAATGACACCTTAGTATCGCAATGACATTTTTAGGTAATGGTCCGGCAATATTAGACAAGTTAAGTCCTAGGTAAATTACCATATGCATCATCCGTAACGTCGCACCGTCAGTAAATACATCGCAATTTTCCATACAGAAAATAACATACTTGGATAAGCAAATCGGTTCCAGCTGGGAATAACAAAAATCATAATGATTTCCTTTTAGGGAAGTACACAACCCCAGAGTTTGAACATATGTGTTAGCACTGTATGTGTGGTATTTTTTGTGTTGTACTAGTCTGTATTATACCTACCCTAAAATGAGTAATGGGGAAAATAGACTATGCAAGGTAAACACTCATCATTAAACTTAAGATTTTTGTTATAAGTCAAAATTTACCACTGACATTTGTCAAGGCTTTTTCTGGAATCATTTATTTCATAACAAAAATTGTTCATATGCCCTAAACCAAGTGCATGTGATTGGTGCCACACAACTATGAGTATGTAAAAACGTTAGCATCTTAAAAAAGCTAGGGTCACTGGGCCTTGCTTTAAAACCTTCAAGTCATTCTTCACAGCAGGTAAATCACCAATTAATAGAACCAATAAGCAAGCATGTTATTAGACAGTAAGGAGCAATGAATTGCAGCAATTCTCTTATTGCCGAGTTTAGGTCAGACGTAAGTCTATCCTGCATGGCTTGCCTCTCCTCGTCAGACGCCCGATCCCCTAATAGATCAGAGCGTTTACAAGCGGACCGTAAAGAAATCTACGTACGGCAAGATGTGAAGGGAGAGGAGCAACATTGTATCGACCTTGTTGTTAAATAAATATGGTCGTAATGCCTATCTGATTCATTGCAAAATATAGCTTATTACTGAACTTGCACGCAGCCGGGTCCTGTCACAAATCGTTCTATCAGTTATGAACAGTATATGAGGAGAGAATGAATGGTCCCATTTCTTTCGAACACAGTGTTTTACGGATCATGCTCATCAATAATGGTAAAACAATCAATCACCAATATGCGTACGCAATGTACCTTTTAATGTATAGAACATCAATAGAAACTGTGTCAACATAACAATCTAGGATTTAGCTCATAAATTATGGAGGAAGGTGAGATGTAGGCGCGCTTATGTCACCCACGCACCTGGCTCCGCTTCTACCTTAAAGAGGATATGCTTATGAAATGTTTTGGTTTACTTACATATTTCGTTGTCACACTTATTTATTGTTGGAGGGGTTTTTATGAATAATGAAAATAAAACAAAGCTTTTTTTATTGATAAGTATGACTATTTGGTTTTCTGAGTGTGGACTGTCATTTCTTGTTAGAACCATCCCTTCTTTTCTATGTACGACCTTTACATGACAATATTCCCTGGTTTTGAACCGAATTTTACCGATTTCGTGTTAGATGTCGAATGCTGGCAAACCTTGTGGTACATCAGGTAAGGAGTCTACATTTCAATCGTTCTTCTGATCGTATTATGTACTAGTTTCATCGATTTTGAGTTTGAAATAAGGCGTTTCCTACACTTTGATCTCAGTGTAGGATTTTTAAGACTATTAGTCAGGTTCTCAAACCCCGTGCACCATAATGTTCTTTCTTCTTAATGTTACTGCGATCATCAAGGATTTTGACACACAAATGTACATGGTCATAAAACCACAGGACAGTTGGAATACAGTCTCAGAAAGTCTGGAAGCTTGTCTGACAGATATCAGTATCTGGATGAACGCCAACATGCTTAAACTTAATCAGGAAAAGACGGAACTAATCGTCTTTTCCCCAAAGTGTCAGCAAACAATGGCTATCCAGCTTAAGGTTGGTGCCAGAACTATTGAGACTGTTCCAGCTGTTAAAAACCTAGGGGTATACTTTGACAGTTCTC